TTATTTTTCCCTTGTGGTTTGTAGATTCTCACCATAACACAATGCATGTGTTTGAAATGGTGAAAATCCGGGATCAAACCCATGCAAGGAGTGAAAATGATGCACATATGTTCATGTGACTTCAAAAACAAGTATTAAATCTTCTTCTCCATTTCTTTTGTGTTCTTGCATGATCAAAAGCATTTAAACCATTTCTAGTACATCTTGGATGCTTATTCACTCCACGCATGTGCTAGAAATCGGACCTTACCAAAGGCATGCATGATGTTCTTGTCAAAATGTCCTAAGGATGCACTCAAAGCAAACATGCAATCTGGTGTATTACTTTATTCAGCTTTGAACGACCATATCTCGGTCATTTCTTAACCAAATCATGATATTCTTTTTGTATTGCATAATTCCATGCGTTAACTTTCAAACCCAACTGATCTCACTGTAAAATATTAAATATCCGATGTTTGGCAATTTCTACAAAATGGTTGCGCAAACAGCTCTTTTTCTATGATCACCATTTTTGCCTTGCATGATCAATGGCCTTAATCCCAACCATAAATCTGGGGAAAAATGCTTTAGAAACTTAACATATCCAATGAATGATGGTTGAAATTTCGTGGCTTAAAACCCCACTGAATGGGCTATATAAATTCATGAACTTCAGCCACATTTATATCTCATGCACCATTGCATGCAACATTTCTTAACTTGTTTGGGTTCAATACCCCTATTTCCCTTCAGAATAAATTTTGAACATTTTTCCTTTTGAAAGCCCTCACATGCATGTGATAATTTGTAAAATACCAAAAGCTTTTATTATTTCTTTGATTTATTAAAATTATTGCTAGAAACAAAGGGCATAAATCTCATAAAACACTTTCAAAGGTCAATAAATCCGGAATAAACTCATGGGTGACCCTTATGGTGAATAATGACCCCTCACTAAATTTCATTAATTTTTGTTGCTGTTTGGTATGATTTCCGATTTTCTTTTTGTTAGGATATAATAAATCACAAAACCACTTTAGAGAGTGTGAAAATTTTATCTAACAATTTTCACATACCTCACCTGTGATGGATGACTCAGAAAAATAATTTCAACATTCTTCATCCTGCCTTGCTATTTTTCCCAATTTTTGGTAATTATAATGGCCCAAAAATAGGAAAAATAGTTCTGATTATCCAAAATTCATGAAACTTTATCAGAACATCATGTTGTACAGTAGGAGGTTACATAAAAATTTTGAGGATTTTTCTCCACTGTAAACTATTTTTCTCTTAATTTCTGAAGTTAATTAAACTTAAATACACTTACATACACATAAATACCCAAAACCGGATTATACAATATGAAAAACACTTTTGGTATTTTTCATAGATTAATTACACTGTAAATGATGTTACAAAAATTTTTGGTAATTTATTTTAACTGTTTAATATTATTTCTTCAATTAATGATTATTTAAAGGAATAAAACATGGAAAAATAGAAATACCCACTGGAAAATATCTTTTATATTTTTCCCAACCTATTTATGTACAATAACAGTTAGTTAAAAAGTTTGGGTAATTTTGGAAACTGTTTTCTATTTATTTCAATTTTTATTGGAATAAATGCTCAAAAATCATAAAATATAATTAAACAGCTTGGAAATCCGTTTTTATATTTTTCCCAGCTTAGTATTGTGTAATAACAGTTAAATAAAAAGTTTGAGAATTTTTATCTTTGAATGCTATTTTTCTTGAATTGATGTTGTTATAAAGACTTCAAAATTTGGAAAATTTATATTCCAATGTTGTAATTAATCGCACGATTTGTAGCATTTCATTATTTCAGAACAAGTGTAACCAATTAATATAAAATCAAATACTAAATCATAAATTGGCATTTCACTATATGTAGAATTTAGTATATTAACATTAGATGTCGACATGGAAACTCACTAGTGTGTGTTTGATGTCGTAAGATCCCGGTAGTAAGACGTTGGTGCATTCCGATGTACAACTTGTACCTACTCGAAACGTTGTGAGTATTCACGTACTCCCCTATTTTCGGTTTTTATGTTTTGGGGTGGAAAAGCATGTCCTAAACTATTTATGTTCGTTATATTTACTTGACTCGTATAAACTTGATTACTATATTTTGCATATTGTGAGTATTCACGCACTCCCCTATTTTCAGTTTTATGTTTTGGGGTGGAAAAGCATGTCCAGAAAAACTATTGTTTGCATGTTGTATTTAAATTGATTATTATCAAACATGATTGCTATTGTATTGCTATGTTTCTTTATGTATGTCTATGCAACACGGAACATGAGAACTTATCGTACTAATGCCCTTCCCTTATCTCTAACCATTAACTCTTTGAGCCAATGGTCATTATGGATAGCGCTATTAAGAATTGACAATTCCTCACTCGCCCGAATCGCTGGAGTGCATGATACCACATTCATCTATGGAACGATAAGCATAGATCTCGATAGGGCTTCAGTCATAGGTTTTGTTGAGACTCATTGTTTGCTCATACACATACAAACTTGTTTCTCGTTATAGCAATAAGCTTGTACTCATTAATAGCAATCAACTTTGTTTATCATTAAAGCAATGTACTTGTATTTACGAAAAGCCGTATTTCAAGCTCGATTTTATAAACTTGTGAACTCACTAACTATTTTCATAGTTGACGCTCGTTTTACATGCTTTGTCAGGAAATAATTAGTAAGTGGATGTAAAGATTAATCATCATAGAGCATGCTGCATCGTGTTGAAGCTATTATGAAGTTATATTTTGAACAATGTTATTTTGGAAAAACTTGTACTTTGTTTCTTTTTAAGCTATGGGTTGTAAACTTTTAAATACTTCTATGGTGATGTATCTTTATCTTTTGCAATGAAACCGTTATCGCTATCATACCTTGCGTTTCCGCTTTAGCGGGGTGTGACAACTAATAACCATAAAAGTAGGCCCGAACCAACGGGTAAAACCCAACAATCATATAAGCGGGCCTTGCCTTACAACATACCATGCAAGCAAGAGTCACAAAGACAATAAGTATATCAATGACACGAAGTGTCCTACATTATAGCGAAGAAACTCACCTGAAATCCAAAGTTAAATCCGACCAACCGAAGTCCCAATGAATCAACTATACGAATCATCTAAACAAAAAACATACTAAACCTCAGTCTAAAGCTCAAAACCTTCAATTTTGACTCAAGAGTCAAACATGTCAAAAAGTCAAAAGTCAACGTCAACACAATCCACGACATAATCTTATATAGGTCACACCGTGAATAATCAGCAGACAAAATAATCGGGAGTGTCTTGAAATCACATAGTGTATACCAAGCAGGTCGCTTCGATAAACCCGACTTAACAACCTAATCCATTAAGGACTTAATCCTTAAGTCCATAACTCCAACTATGTAGAAGACGAATTTAGTTGTGTGTATGTCCCAGAACTAATGATCTAATTTAGTAATCAATGAAGTTGATTGCAATAAAGGAAAGATGTAGAAGAAGAAGAAATGAAATCAAGCATGCACACATCTATTGCCTGTAAATGTCAAGTACATCTTGAGAAAAGTACTGCTACAGCAGAGTTCTGACACCAAGCAACAAGTACAAACTGACACAACTCAGTTGCTTTAAATAGTACTCCTCCTACCAGCACAAGAGTGTGAAGCCGTACACATGTGTGCGGCCACACACACATGTATGGCAGCACACATGACAAGTTAACACACAATCACTGCAAAAATGTCACTATCACTTATACAAAATGATGCCTAGATCAAACCATAAAATTATGTTCTTTCAGTCTCCCCCTTGGTTTGAGACTAGCATAGTCTTGTCTTCACTCCTTTGGCTCCTCAGCAGGCTTATCAAACAACCTCAGATCTGATCTCCCCATCGATCCCGTCCACAATCTTCCATTTATGATCGTGGCGACCATAGCAGTGAATTCTTTAGCAGCAGCTTCCATGACATCTTTTCTGAAAATGATTTGATGACGGGCCAAAGTTCGTATATCTCTTTCTCTGAAACGGAGAAGATCTTTAGCACTAATCAATCTCAGAACATGTTCTTGATTCTTGAATTTGATGGCTGCAGTAGCTGTTTCGTCATCATATGCCCAAAATTCCATGTCATCCAGATATCCCTCATGAAAATGTTGAGGAATAGGAATTTCCTTTTGTTTCTTAGTTGCAGGCCAGAGTATAATCTTCATGGGTTCGCCTGTTTCTGGATCAAGAACATCTTTGTCCTTTTTATATAGGGCTTTTGCAGTCTTCATTGATGGAAAGTTCTCTTTGACCTGTCTATCGAGAAATCTTTTGAAATTTGAAGCATTAGGATCTTCAGAGGGGTTATGGAATGGGGCCCTGGATAATTCAGCTAGATCAGTTTTGGTCCAAGAGTTGAAATCATGGGTGCTTTTGTAACATTCAGATGCTCCTGATTTTCGCTTTACAACCCACAAATTCGTCACTGGATCAAAGGCCCACATTCAGATGCCTGTCCTGTCACCATACTCATCACTGAAATTTCTTTTCTTCAAATCTGTTACTGTCAAGACAGGGTCTCTTGTTTTGCGATTTTCATTAGAATTTTTCATGAATAAAAGGCCTTCACTTTGCTTTGCAGTTACGATTCTCTTGCCCTGCTTGATTGTGATTCTGGCTCTGCTTCCTTCAGGTTCCTTTTCAAATTTGTTGACAATTGTAGTTGTTCTTGGAGCAGGAGGGTTGATAGGAAGATCATCAGTTGCAGGAGGTGATTGAACAGAAGGAGGATTAACTACTCCATGAGACTGTTGGAAGAGGGCTTTGACTTTGTCACCAAAGGCATCGTATAATACGTTCTTGAGATTGAAATAATTAGCTAGAATAGATCCAAGACTCGTTTGTAGATCATTGATTTGTTTGGTCTTTTCTTCATCCTTTGCCCTGAGCTCAAAGATATGTGCAGAAAGCTGCTCCATCTGTATTGAATTTTCAATGAGCTATTGATGGAGAATTCCAATTTCCTCTCGGAGATCAGATGAAGAGGATTTGTCATCGTCTGTCCGACCCTCGTTAAATGATATTCCTTTCCCGCGTGAAGAGGTTGGACTAAATTGAGCCAGATGCTTTACCAATCTGATAGAAGCATCATCTAGGGAAGGTCGAGTTGGAGAATATTCTGGAATGGATGAGGATCCACCAGTCTCGAACATGGTACTTGGACCTTCATCAGTTTGCATTGGAGGAGAGTGAGCAAAGGTAGCAGTGATTGTTGAAATAACTTGAGTAGCACTTCTTACAGAGGGTACCTCCAGACTTTCAAGAGATTGGCTTGTTCTCATAGAAGTCTGAGAAGTTTGAGGTTCAGTTAAGTCAGAAATGACTGGAGCTGATGTTGAGACAGGTGACATAGAGGGAGGAATCTCTAATGTCACATCTCCTTGGCTTGTTGTGATCTCCAAGGGCTTTGAGGTAGAGAGCAGAATTTTGAGAACATTTCCTTCATCTCTAGTCTTAGTTGCTAAAGAAGAAACTTCATTGACTTTATTTACACTACTGCTGGGAATATCAAGAAAAGGATCAAAATCTTCATCACCAAAATCAAATTCTATGTTTGTTGGAATGTCGTCATTGATTCCTGTAAAGTCGATTTCTTTCAGAAATTCCACATCTTCATAAAGATCATCATCATCATCCTCTCGAGAAGATTTTGAATCATTTGCTTTCTGATTATCATGCTCATCAGCTACATAAGCTGTGGGAGAGTGATGAATCTCCTCCAGTTCAGGCTCGGAGGGGGAGTGAAAAATATCTTCATTTTCCATCGGCATGGATTGTTCTGCTGATTCTTCTCTAACATCCTCTTTAAAAATTCCAAATTTTATCAATGGAAATTTTCCTTCAAATACGAACTTTCCGCCTCTCTTTTGTTTCATTAGTCCAAAGGCAGTTGGACCAATGGATTTGAAATCCAGAGTATCATTTCCTCTCTGCAACTCGGGGTGAGTTACGTTAAGGATGATTTGTAAAAATCTTGGATACATACAAAATTTGTCTCTTTTGCTCCCTTCAAGATTTAGTATCATTTCATTCATTATGAATTTTGAGAAATTAAACTCAAAACCTGTTGCCAATGCTGCAATGGCACCAGTGTTGGCTAGAGAAATCTCGTTTGCTCCTGATCTCCAGCTAGAAATGCAACTCACGAACACATGAGCCAAAAGCTTCCAGCATGGAGGAAGCAGCTTCTTGATTGTAGGAGGAAAAGTTCCTTCGTATCCCGTATGCTCTAATATTTCCTCACTTTGATGAACGTCAATCTCCATGGGGTACTCAGGTTTTCCTCAATTTGAAGAGATTCTCTGATGATGGTTTCTGTTACTTGAATTTTCTTGTCTTCGATTGTTGCTTCCACAAATTTTTCACCTTGATCATTCTTCTTTACAACAACATTTCTCTAGAAATCCTTAATCAAACTTTGGTAGATAGCAGGATTTGTAGTAAGGCATTGAACCAAGCATGATTTCTTCAAACCATCCACAATACATTTCAAGTTATTGTGGGCTGCAGGAGGGTCTTCAAGGAAAATTGCAGAATTGTGGACTTTAGCGAACTCCATGTCTCCCATTTTAATCTGAAAGGCAACATACAAGATTATTAGTGAAAAACTTTGAGAATGATGTAGCCGCACACGGAGTTATATACAGCTGCACACTCACGTGTGCAGCTGTACACGATCAGCCGCACACAATCATTCATAATATAATTGTGGCAGCACACTGTCAGCCGCACACTCACGTGTACGGCCGCACACACAGTGTGCGGTTACCCTTGACGACAAACAATTTTTTTATGAAGATTCAACAGCAAATGATAGAAAAATTTGTGAAAATAATCGAAAACTCAGCCGTGTTCATGAGAATTACCGAGTAAATGCTTTGATGGCACAAAAATTTAATGGAATTTTTTAAGAGTTTCAGAGAGAAAAATTTGTGTGCGGTTGAAGCAGGAAATAGTGACGGTACATATTTCACCGCACAGACACTATATATATACACAAAATTTTCACTTCCTCCCCCTTGTCCTTTAATTATTTATCCCAAAACCCCTTTCACTCGCAATTTTCTCAAAAATGAATTATTTTGAGGATTAATTTCAAAGTTCCTACAAAAAATAAAAATAAAAAATAAAAAAATAAAAAAAAAATAAAAATAAAAATAAAATAAAAATAAAAATAAAATGAAATTGGAAATACTATTGACGAAAAAATTAATTTAAACATATATAAATTGTTTTAACCTGTTGAGGTTTAGGGATCAAAATTTTTAGACAACCATTATCCGCTTGTCGGTACCTTTCATATTCACATCTTTGTCTGGTCGATTGTCGGGTATTGTTGTCCACTTAAACACGAAAAATTGTGAAAAAATTAGGACACACTAATGAGTGACAAGACATTGTCATCCTAAATTCCTAGATATTATATTTAAACCTAAGTTTCTGGATATTATAGCTTAAGGACCATTCAGCTGATGATGACCAGGGATATTGTTGTCCACCTAAATTGAGCAGCGAGATCTATAGACAATCTGTATGAGTTCAATTTTAAGTGTACTAGAACATGTTTCCCGCTTCCAGATATGCCCCGGTAATCAAGGACTTCCAGACTCCTTACATCGGATGAGCAGACCATCATTAGGAGAGAAGATAGATTCAGAGTATTATCATTTATAGTGCATATGCTATGTACTAGGTCGGATGGTTAGTCACGCAAAGGAGACAGCATATGGCTAACAGATAAGAGGAATTTCATATGTGTATATATACATATATATATATATATATATATATATATATATATATATATATATATATATATATATATATATATATATATATATATATATGCAGAGAGATAGGTTTGCATATGTTACAGTCCAGGTCGGATCTCTTCCAATCACGCAGAGGAGGTAACATATGACTGACAGACAGAAAGAAAGAAAATGATTTCTATAGACCTAATTTATCGAAATTTACCAGTTGCCCCATCAATACCGGAATTAAGGACAGAATCCGCACACGGAGGAAAAGTTAAACCACGGTTCCAAGTACGGGTTCAATTAATGTGACGAGTATATTCCCATATATATATATATATATATATATATATATATATATATATATATATATATATATATATATATATCCCTGATCAACCTATCCAAGCGTCGTATTATTAGGCTAAACAGAACTATCTAGGTCAAGATTTGTCAAGTCATTTGATTTCCTAAGTTCCATTTTGCCTAGTCATGTCCATTTTAAAATCTTTCGTGCCTACCGACACATTAAACCAGAGCATAGACCCTTCAACTTTAGGTACGTTACGCGGACTCAGGTTGCCTATTATCACATTATTATATCACTTCCCTGAACATCTCCCTCAAACATAATTTCTAATTTTCTAATTTTTTAAGGATTTTATAATTTGTTTTTTAATGTTTTTGGATTTTCTAATTTTTTAATGTTTTTGGATTTTCTAATTTGTAATGTTTTTGGATTTTCTAATTTTTTTAATGTTTTTTGTATTTTCTAATTTTCTAATGTATTTCGATTTTTAATTTTTTTAATGTTTTTGGATTTTCTAATTTTCTCCCCCTAAATTTGTGCATAAAAAGAAAATAAAATAAAATGCGCAAATTTATGCTGAAAAAAATAATAAAAATTAATCCTCAAAACGAATCATTTTTAGAAAATTAACCAGCATATCGAATCGAGCTTTGTTAAATGGCTTGGTGAACAGATCTGCTACATTATTATTAGAGCGGACCTGTTCTAGCCGAATGAGCAAACGCTCATAACATTCTCGAATAAAATGAATCTTGATGTCGTTGTGCTTGGTTTTTGAATGCTGGACCGGGTTTTGGGCAATTTGGATCGCAACCTCATTATCACAGAAAATAGGGGTTTCTTGAAAATTCAAACCGTAGTCCAACAACTGATGTTGGATCCAAATGACTTGAGAACAACGAGCAGATGCGGCAACATATTCTACTTCTAATGTTGAGGTTAAAACGGTGTGCTGCTTGTTGCACTGCCATGACACTAGTGTATCTCCTAGAAATTGGCATCCTCCTGAAGTTGATTTTCTATCAAGCTCACACCCGCCATAGTTGCTGTCAGCAAAAGCATAGAGATCAAATTCGGGATTTTTCGGATACCAAAGACCCGGTTTTGGGCACCCTTTGAGATACCAAAAAATCCTTTTAACAACAATTAAATGAGAGAGTTTAGGATTAACCTGGTAGTGAGCACATTGACAGACCGCAAACATGACGTCTGGGCAACTAGCAGTCAGATACATGAGAGATCCGATCATTGATCAATAATGTGTTCGATCTATGGATTCACCCTCAATATCAGGAAACAAAAGAAGTCGTTCCGCCATGGGTGTATGAGCAGGTTTTGCGTCTTGAAACCCGAACTTCTCCAGTACATCATCCACATATTTTGCTTGATGAATAAGGATTCCGGCTGAAGATTGTTTGACCTGAAGCCTAAAAAACGTGGTCATTTCCCCAAGCGAACTCATCTCGATCCGCTTCTTCATCACTGCTTCAAACTCTTTGCAAAGTTGATGGCTTGTCGACCCGAAAATGATGTCGTCCACATAAATTTGAATGAGAATTTGATCTGGACCAACATGTTTGGGGAATAAGGTTTTGTAACGACGTAAATTTTAAAACCAAATTTTCATTTTTGTAAACATCAAAAACATCGATTAATATTTCAAATTCAAACGTGAACAATATTGTCACAACAAAATACATCCCAATGATCATAAATTAGTTTTTCCCTGACAATGTGTACGATCACGCCGGCGCCTTCCCACGGTCCTCGCTAGTACTTGAAACACATAACACAACAACTGTAAGCATAAATGCTTAGTGAGTTCCCCAAAATACAACTTCTGCACATATGCCTTTCCAGGCCCTAACCTTCCGGTCCATGTGTCTCAGGGGACTTCCGTTCCGACTACGTAAACCTTCCGGTCCTACCGACGTCAACCTTACGGTCCACATCACAACGCCTTCCGGCCCATAACATATTCGCCTTCCGGCCCATATCAAGCATATGATACATGGCACATATAACGATTAACTTATCCCACATAATACATATATCTCATATCATATCCGACCTTCCGGTCACATAGTCAAACCCTTCCGGGTACAGTATAGTGAGAAGACTCACCTCGTGGAAAGTCTAAGATCTCGCGTCCTTGCTATCACCGAATCCCAATGACGACTCTACCTCGCCTAAACATAAACATATCATTTAATACACAAAGACTTCCACCACTAAAACTTTACCCCTTATCATCATTCCTTAGAGGGTAAAAGACCATTTTACCCTTCCTTGACCTAAAGTCCTCATGTTGACCAAAAGCCTAAAAGTCAACAAAAGTCAACTCTGAGAGTACGTGGGGCGTACTGCTAGATGTACGCGGGGCGTACATCGCCAATCTCCTGGATCAGGGTCTCCACCCAGTACGCTGCGCGTACTGGAAGTTACGCCCAGCGTAACCATCAGAATCCAACACTCTTCATTTATGGTCTTAATCGGTTAAGCCATTACTCCAACTTCTAGATCCGACTCTTTTAGTGTGTCTAAACCCATAAATTCGAGACCTTTAAGCCTTGGCATGGCTGAAAAGGCTCCAACATCACATAGCAACATTCTATTCCAACTCAAGGACCTAGATCTCATGCATGGTGTAATATCCACGTCTAAGATGCCATTTTTATGAGTCTACAACTCCAACAGA